CTATTATAACGGGTACGTTTTACTAAGATTATGTAAAAGTGGCAATATTAAATCAAAAATAGCCTTAGCTAAATTGTAGTATCTAAATTTAACAATTATTCTGTAATAAAACACATTTTTAAGGATTTAAATTTTATGGAATTTGTACGCGACAAGTTTGTCTGATTTTATACACATACATACATGTATACTATATTTATGTATGAATACAAATAATTATAAAATCAATTATTTATTTTTTTTTTTTTTCAAGCTTAACGGGCCTTTAAGGCCCAACGCTGCCATCATGAGATGGTTTCTTGACGAATTCGCTTCCGGGACGGGTCGTCAATCCGTCGCCGGATTGATAAAATCAATTATACTAACTTATAATGCATAGTTGTTAAAAATAAAATTTGTTTACCTTTAATAATGCAAATAATGGTTAAAAGAATATTTGCTGTAATGCGTATGCGACAATTTTCCTACTTTAAAGAGTTAAAAACAATTTTTATTAATTTTTACTGTGTAGTTTACAAAATTTGAACATTGATAACACATAGTCAAACAATTGTGTTGATAAATTTCAACGACAAATATATAGTATAGTATAACATTTAAAGAACAATAATAATCTTTTGTCTGATAATATAAGTATTTAACTAATAAAATATTCATAAACTAATTATTAATACAACAATAAATTTAAAAATTACAAATGTTACTATTTTGAAAATATTCAATCAAAAATATTAAACAAAAACAATATCTATACATTTTAAATTGTTCAACTTCTATAATACTGATTAAAATTTTTTTCTTTTAACAATCGTTGGTAATTAAACAAATCTAACAAAATCAAAATTCAATAAATAAAATTAACTATAAGAATTATCTTAGGCAAGTTCAAAAAAATAATTTACTTGATTTACTGAATTTATTAAATACAAATTAATAGAATTACTACTTTTTTAAAGAGAGAATTATTGTATATTAATAAATTTGATATAAAATTTAACTTTGATAGCCAAATACCTGTGTCAGTTATAGCTAAAACTTTATGATAAAATATCCGTAATGTATGTCAGACACACAATATATGGGTTATATCATTGTAAGAAATAACTAAACTGAAAGCAGACATTTGAACTACCTTAGATAAGTTTAATCAAATAAAAATAATATACTTACATATTATTATAAATATTGGTATAATCAAGAAGCGATTCCTTGTATGTAGTAGTATGAAATTCATACATTAATTACTGATATTTTTAAAAATAAATGAAACGGGTATATGAGTATTATCAACCCACATACACAAATACATGCATTAATAATTATTTTAAGTTAACACAACACACTTTTCATTCAAATTGCTTAGTGTTGATATTATACATTCACATGAAAAAATGTCACATTAGAAATAAATGTTTTATACTTATAATTTACACCTTGATATATAATTGTAAGGTCTTGGGTCCGGTTGGAAAGACATTTCCATAGTAATTGGTATAGCCTATTCTCAACGCCATAGATATTTCTGACATGATAACATTGATTTTTAAATGATAAAAGATTTTCGGAAAAAAGCATTCAACCTAAAATAAAAAAGCTAATTGAATTCGTATTGTATTAAATTATCTATTAAACTTTAATACACTTACCTATTAAATTAATGGTGTGTCCAAGAATGTAACGTCAAAATAAAGTCGAGAGCAAATATTATCAATTGATATATTTAAAAAATTATAAAATAACGAGTTAAGACATAACTACAATAAGCATGCTATCATATTTACTATAAAGTATAATGTAAATTTACTAACATTTTTTAATTAAGTTTGCAATTTCTCATTTCACTAATGGAAAACGTGTGAACTTCGAAGTCGAAATTTGTTAGCGATGAGGTTATGTACAAATAATAAATATAATGCGATTTTGTACAAATAATAAAATATATTATGGGTACTGGTCACTCGATTATTCCGTGGTAACTGATGCATAGTTTAGATACTAGATTGTTATCCGAGATAACCAGCTAATGACTAGCTCCAGCTAGATTAGGTTAAAGTGTAAAGTCCGTTATCCGTAACAGTCTACCTTTCGTCTAATAATGTGTGGTTATTTATTATATCTGATTATGATACGGAATGCGTTAACATCAAATTATTATTATATTTGATGTGATGACCGTCGTAATAAAACTACTTGTCTTTGTCGAATCGAATGAAATTATTAAGAAATATAGACAAAAATTCAAATCTTTACAAAGTCATAAACAGCGAACAAATGGATAAAAATTAAAAATTCAAACGCTAACATTTTTTTAGATTTTTTGTCTTTATATTTATGGAATTTAAAACATATGTTCCCATTTGAAAAAACGAGGTTCGTACTTATTTAACGTATAAGGGTTGAAGATAACATTTTTCTAAATATTGAAAAATGTAGCTAAATATGTACCTAAAATTTTAGGGAAAAAAAAATTCGCAAAATATTCATACTTTCAGAGAAAATGAGTGTCTTACGTTAGTTGGATCACCCTGTATATTATGGTATCACACTATATATAGATATTATATATCCGTGTACACTAGTTTTTTTTATAATTTACATATATAATTATATAGTACTGATATAGTAGAATTAATACAAAATTTTAAGTTTCTAAACCGGAAATAGCATTAAAAATTCAAAATTCAAATTTTGAGATTTTTGGTGTTTTTTCTTAATAAAATATAAGTTTGACGACAAATTTTCAGTGTAAGTTTAAGCTCTTAAGTCCTAAAATTGCGCTAAAATATAGGCTAATAAAATTTTTTCAGGTTATTTCCGGTTTCAGGTGTGAATAAGTTTTCCTACTTTAGACCCACCAAGGTACCATCTTCATACGATTCTGGATCTAATAGAGGTGTTACACGAGTAATTTGATCCCTAAAAAAAAGTTATCGTATCTACACACACAAAAAAAAACACATCATGGTTTATATAATTATTTATCCAATACCTTGTGAGCTCAGCATCAAAGCTAACACTGTTAAAATATTTCCACATTATGATTCTATAGTATTATTTTAACGACCTTTATTTGAATAATAGTTTAGAAACAATTAGTTTGTGTGTCTGTGGTACGGGTTTTTTTTATGATAATATTTTTGAAATGTTAAAATGTGTATCGGTAACATTTTAAATACATTGACTTGTTGAAATCTAAACTTATCGCTAAACTATAGTTGTTATTATTATGTTTTATTTTTATTAATGGAATCTGTACAAACAATTTTCCACGTGTCAGTTTTTTTATTTTTACTAACAACGCTGTTGGTTTGTTAATTAAACTATTGTTTTTTTAATAAACATTGAATAATTTATATGTTTTTTGTTATTTACTTGATGTAGCGATCTGCCTAAATAAACATAATGTAATCAATGACTCGAAATCAACGTTAAATGTTGTTAGTATTGACATTTATCATACTTTAGTACAAATAAAAAAAACTGATTATGTCATAATATTCACACAATTAAAATAATACTTTAATCAAATAAAAATAGGACTCTTTTATAACCTAAAATTTTTTTTATATCAATTGAATGATTTTTTTGATAACTTTGATAACTAAATTAAAATAAAATTATACATTTGTACAATCTGTTATTTGGAGTACATAATAAATGTCATAAAATAATCCCGGAAAACACAAACAAATTATAAAACATTTAAAATATCATAAAATTGCTATAAGAATATTATTCCAATATAAAAAAAATAATATATCTCCACGATATATTAATATATTTTTTTCATATATTATATGATATTCATAGCAATAAAAACATTCTTTATAAATTTTATATTTGAATATAAGTTTTCTTAAAAATATCTATTATGTATGTATTCATTTACTTACCAGTTAATAACATAATATAATAAAACAATTAGGTAGCTATTACGTAAAAAAATTATATATACTATTTACACGTTATATACTTTATAATGCAGAACCCGGCTATACTGAAAACAATTGTAATTACCAATGTGTTTTTAAAAACGTTATAACTTTGGAACGGGGGGAGCACTAACGATGGGGTTTTCGGCACAAACCAGCACTAACGTAGCACAATCCGATGATGTTTAAAAAAATTCAAATTTCCGATGTGGGGGGGCTATCGTTAAGATGGCCCCCCCACTTTGAAAACGGTATAACTTTGGAACGGGGGGAGCACTAACGATGGGATTTTCGGCACAAACCAGCACTAACGTAGCACAATCCGATTATGTTTAAAAAAATTCAAATTTCCGATGTGGGGGGGCTATCGTTAAGATGGCCCCCCCACTTTGAAAACGGTATAACTTTGGAACGGGGGGAGCACTAACGATGGGATTTTCGGCACAAACCAGCACTAACGTAGCACAATCCGATTATGTTTAAAAAAATTCAAATTTCCGATGTGGGGGGGCTATCGTTAAGATGGCCCCCCCACTTTGAAAACGGTATAACTTTGGAACGGGGGGAGCACTAACGATGGGGTTTTCGGCACAAACCAGCACTATCGTAGCACAATCCGATGATGTTTAAAAAAATTCAAATTTCCGATGTGGGGGGGCTATCGTTAAGATGGCCCCCCCACTTTGAAAACGGTATAACTTTGGAACGGGGGGAGCACTAACGATGGGATTTTCGGCACAAACCAGCACTAACGTAGCACAATCCGATTATGTTTAAAAAAATTCAAATTTCCGATGTGGGGGGGCTATCGTTAAGATGGCCCCCCCACTTTGAAAACGGTATAACTTTGGAACGGGGGGAGCACTAACGATGGGGTTTTCGGCACAAACCAGCACTATCGTAGCACAATCCGATGATGTTTAAAGAAATTCAAATTTCCGATGTGGGGGGGCCAACTTAATGGAGCCAACTGATTCGCTGGGTTTGGGTAATAATACTTAAAGTAATACAATAAATACTAACGCAAAATCAGATCAAAACAATTTATTAATCAATCAAAACTACACTGTATGTGATGTATTACATAAATGCACTGATTTAATAACAGTTAATATTGTATTCAAACTATAAAGGAAATAATGTTTCAATGATCAAATTTTCAATTCCGTTCACAGAGAATATGCGACCTGGAAACAAAAAATTTTATTCATTTTTTAAACAAACGAATCAGGCTAAATGAGTTAAGAATAACAATGTATTTAGTTTTAAATAATTTGTTAAAATTTGCATAAAATTGTTTAGAAGAACACATTTATTAAATTATATTACTTAAGACATCCGCTTTGAATTCATCGTAACTGGGTACTGGTTTTTGTACTTCTAATGTTCGTATTACGTCCTCAATTACTTTTCTAAATGCTTCATAGTCCATGCCATCAGGTTTTTCATGAGCAATCACGGCGTTATGTACTATTTCCTATTTTAATAAGAATAATAATTAGTCATTAAATAGTGTATAACAATTTACAAATAAAACTGATTCTTCTTTAGCGAAATAAAAATTACTAACTAAGTACAAGATATAATATTATATGCCTTTAAGTTTTTTTTTTAAATAAAAAAATGTATAAATAATATAATTTACTAAACTATACTTAACATTTTTTTTTTATAACAGCATAAACATAAAAATGTTGATAAATACTAATTACTTGTTATAGTTATAAGAACTAAACCTATTCTATATACAAGAATTGAAAGTTTGAATATTTCGAATATCTCCAAACAAACAACCTAACGAGACTTTGATCTATAATATAATATTATAGTTGGTTATTATAATTTATTTACCATTACGTCCGGATTTCCCGAAGCTACATACGCTAGGGCGTAGTTTTTAACGTCACTGAATGTAAATCTATAGTCTGAAAAGTACAAAATAGTATATATTTATTAAACAACCGAATCAGTCAAATGAGTTGAGAGTAACAATGCGTTACAATAGGAAAACCGTAATTGTAATTTTAGAACTATAATATAATATTTAATTGTACAATATTAGTAAAATTTAGATTTTTTTTTTTTAATGATCATGTGTCTCAAATTTAAAAAATATTCTTGTAGGTTTTACAATTACCAGGTAACAATTTAGTAGGTTTGTCAAATACGATCTCTTAACGAAAATGTTATAGAAATGACACACATGCTTGTTAAATTGTTTTTCCAATCGTCTTTAAACATTTTACTAAACATATTTATTTAATATTCTATCGTTTCTTACTATTTGCTGTCTTTTGTAATGTATTACTAATGCACTGTCCTACAATCTCAGGAAACCTTCCGTCGAAATCGGCTCGCTCTTTTATTTTGGCGAGTACTTCTCTTAACTTAAGGTCACTCATGTATTCATCTTGGCCCATGTGTTCCGCCACTATCTCATTAATGAAATTCTGTAGTTTTCAAAATAAGAATTAAACTATAAAATATATATTATAATTCACATATAAAGCTAAGCAACAAAAGGCTCTTCCTATTTAGTTTCCTCTCTTCTCTTAACATTCAGAGAAAATTTTACATAAAATGTATACATTTTAAACCGAGTTCTCCGTAAACACGCTTAGATAAACAAAAATTGACCCACGTGCATATATATATAAATGGCTAACTACAAGACATATTATAGCGGTTTGTCCCATTTTAAAATACTAATTCAATCAAAAAGTTGTAGTTGTAGTTGAGTGGTAACTGTGGTATGCGTAATAATTATAATTTTCATGGTTACCAAACATTACATGTTTCACATACCTACCACGGTTACTACACGTATCACGACTGCCACGTATACCATATTTAGTATTAATACTATGTGTAAAAAATCGGTAGCAAAATCATTTACTAATAAAACCGTAAAGTATTTCTGTTGGGAAGTGTGAATATATTTTTTGGTTTAAGAAAAAAAACTGTCATTTGAGATCCGAAAATATAAAAAAAAAATGGGAAAGTTACTGAAAGTGAAAAAAATCACTTTGCTGCGAAAATGTGAACGGTAAGAACATAAAATAATTGACTAAAATATAATTTACATTTTGTATACAAAAGCATAAATCTGAATTTTTTTATAATTCGAAAAACTAAGTACTTGTTAAATAAAATTGAAAGTTTTAATATTTCTAATATCTCCACACAAACAACTAAACGAGCCTGTTAGTTCGTAATTTAGTATTACAATTTGTATTTACCAATAGGGCCGCATGTTCTGAAACTACAAACGCTAGGGTGAAGATTTCAACATCGTCCCTTGAAAGTTTAACTAAAAGTACAAAGTATTATACATTTTTTAAACAACTAAACTATGGGGATATTTTTTAACCACAAAGGAATTGTGAATTATTTTTGAATTGAGGTTATTGTAATAATTTAAGAAAAACGACGTCATAATAAATTCTACAATCTTTATAAAATTAATTAATGTAAAAAAAAAACATGATCACATATGCTTTTGTGCATTATGAAAAAAGGTTTCCGTTTTTATATATTTTTTTTCGGTTCACGAGTTTTAATTTGTTAGTTTTAAAATATTAATTATTTTACTGCTATAAAAATGACGTAATAAATTGTACAATTTTAGTAAAATTTATTAATTTTTAAAAAAAAAACCGTATTTATAATTTTGTTATTTCGTTCGCGAGTTATGATTTTTTAGTTTAAAAATATTTTATTTAATTAATAAATGACACACTTGATTGTTTAAATGTTCTTCAAATATATCTAATAATTTGATGTAACATATTAATTAAATATTTTTCTATTGTTTATTACTTTTTTCGTAGTTATTAAGAGTGGAGGGCTCATATGTTATGTTGAGTATATCTGCTACATGGCGAAATATAGTTTTTATTTTTTCAAAGTGTATGCCATCTTGCAACAAAAACCATAAAGTTACCGAGGATTTAATCGTGTCCTATAATTTTTACAATAAGAATGAAACATTAAAATTTATATTAAATGTATATTAAGAATCTCAGCATTAAAGATTAATCATATATACTAGATGATCGTTATACTTACCATTTGATCACTTGTTGGTCGGGCACCCTGACATTGTAAAAAGTAAAACGTCACGCAGAAAAACAGTATGATATTTTTCAAATCCATGATTATTGAATATTAAAAGTTTCCTTTTTTTTTAATAACCGTAGTACCGTCTATAAAGAAATATAGCTTAGAAATGACAAAAGTTTCATGTTGTAACTAATAAATTGTGATTTGCATTTTGCAGAAAACAACAGTTGTTTAAGAACGTTTTTATTTGGGTTGTGTGTCATCTTTAATACCCCGCGCCCACTTTCTTATTGTTAAGTCTTTGTACACTCATTTTCACTGTTTTCAAGAATATTTCATACAATTTATTTTTTTTAACGTAAAATTGTATAATATTTATAATATAATTTTGGTAGGGTTTTCTCAATTCCTAAGGAGTAATGTTATAATTTTTTAGGTTTAATGAAATTCGTTTCATGTCCGATTTCTGATCTATATAAGTAATAAAAAAAACCATTAGTGGCCATGATTTCCACCTGAGTCTCGATTCAGTTCCGCCAGCCGCTGACTCCTACCATAGCCACCTTTGTCTAAGTATAGTTATTAAACAAAAAAAGTATAGTCAACCCTACTAAATGTTTAGTTAATCCAACTAGTCAAAAACAACTAAACTAGATTGGTATTTCCAACTTAAATAATGTAGTTGGCACAACCATATTAAAGTAGATTCAACTAGAATATTTCCAACGATTTACTATAACCAAGTTATTTTTTACCCTGTAATAGTATGAAAATATAGTGGAAAATCGAGATATCTTAGAATAAGATAATTAAAAAAAAAAAAAATTATTACTTAAACCCATGAGATATTCGCGATAAAAATATGATCACCCTGTATGCGCGTATTAAAACTTAAAACATTTATCATTACACATAAATTTAATATTGTATCAGCTTGGTAGCAAAATGCGTGTTTCAAATGGTTGAATACAAATGCAAAATTAGAAAAGCCAGTAGGTAGTGATGACGGGGCTTAGTGGTGATGGGGCATATTAGGATGGCGGGTGGTAGGGATCACAAGCCTATAAGAATTATTACTACATGAAATATGTGCAAATTTATCGAGTACTTTTTTCGATTTCAAAAATCAAATTGTACAGTTTTTTATGTGTACAAGTGTTCCACGATCTATAACATTTTCAAATTCAACGATTTATGTTAAAGTTGTGAGAAAAAAAAAACTGTCCTACTTACAAATAAAAAATGAATGCGTGTGCGCTACGAAGTACATACAAATATTAGAAATAATAGCTAGACTCTTTAACAGCATATTTTATTAAAACCGAATATTTTACAAAAAAACATTTCATTGTTTTAAAATACTTTCCTACTATTATGTTAGCTTATCATCGAGCCAGATTAAGTACCTATCTATACAAGTTTAGGTTTATTATTCAGTTCTTCTAGACCGATGATTTAGAGGTAGTAATAAAATCACGTTCAAATGTGTGTTCCGATGCGAATCTGAGGATACTTTGTAATGGATTTGATTGTGATGAAATACACATTCAGATGTAACAATTGCTGCTTCGTCCCAACTTTGCTAACATCTCCTGTACTGATTTATACTGCACTTAATTAGATTTTCTCTGTTCACGCATTTCAAATTCTATGTTAGCTTCGACTCGTTTTATACGTATTTTACACGCTATAAATGTATAATACATAATAGTACGTGTGTGTTATACGTGGTGGTGTAAAAAACTTTTGCCCATTAATTTACACAACTCCGAGTTTTAGGACTCTTTGGTTGATTTTAAATTATTAATAATTCAATATAATTAAGTATTACATGTTTCATGTTCAGTTAAACCGACATCATTATAACATTCTAAGCACACACTGTGGCACATGCATACTAAACAATTTACATGCAATTAAATCAAAAGCATTAAATTGCTCAACGTTTACGCGCAGACAGCATTAACTTTATTGTAGATAATAATACTAATTAATACATTAGGCGCGGGATAATATTAATAGCTTATAACAATATTATGTGTTTAATGTAACATATTTTTCAAAAATGTCCAGCTAAACGCCTTTATTGTAATTATTGCGTAGTAAAAAAAAAAAAACAACATACACACCGGCTACTTAATTTCTAGCCTTATTAAACGAAACACGCGTACGCAGAGGAAACCCTCTTGGGCTCTTGCATGCACACAATGCGTTACCCAAGGGTCATTTTTGATTTTTTTTTCTTTTTCCTCTGCCCTCCATTGTTTTGCACTGCCTCTGTGTTCCTCGTCGATCATTACAAAAGGCCACCCCGGGAGCCACTCTCCGACTACACTTTGTATATCCTATCCATAACAACAACAATTATTATTATTACGATACATTAAAGTCCAACCAAGCGTGGGGGGTTTTTTTTAAGGGTAAAAAACACGGGAGAGAGGATTCAAAACCAACCCCGCACCATTGATACAGTACCTACTACGCTGTACACACTCCCAGCTCGTCCCCGCACCCTTAGTCGAATAATATGGACCCAGTTTTTTTTTCTGTTGCTTCTGTGCTCCGTGATCCGATTAAAGAGCAGTTTCGCTCCTTTACACTACCGTTTATATACATTATTATTATTATTATGTGTATTTCTACATTATATTATGTACGGACTCCGAAACACAATGCGTACGCCGCCACCGTCGATGGCGCCCCGCGGTGAATCGGTTTGCTACGATTTGACGGATTATCATCGGATTTTATTTTGATGTTTCAATGGGGTAGGTTTCCGTGTAACAGTGATGAGCACCGACAATGCCGCGGGTAGTAAATAAATAATTAACGGCGGATAATATTGAATAAGCGAGCCGGTGTGTTTTACACAATGGGCGAACACGGTTCGTCGGCGATTGGCACGGCCGCGCTAACTATTGGCCGACTTGGTTCCTTTCTAGCCGGCCATCGTTATCTAGTAAAATCGAATTATCACGGCTTGGCCGTGTAAAGATTGCCAGTTTGCTAAGACCCGCGGTCCAAGTATGATGTAAAATACCTCTATCGATTCCCCAATCCCCGTATCCCACATCCCCTGACCCCTAGTGTATCAAATGGTCGGTGCCTGCGCTGAACCTCGGCAAGTTACGGATGAGTTGAAGTCTACCTTGAAAATTGTTTACTGAATAAATAGTGTTTACGAATTTATAGTCAACTCAATTTTCGATGGTGACGCTATTTGAAATATTTAGTTTTTAAATAATTTGTTTGTTTTTGTTAATAAGATTTGTTGGAAAATGTTATTAGTAGATATACAGGGTGATCCAACTAACGTAAGACACTCATTTTCTTTGAAAGTATGAATATTTTGCGAATTTTTTTTTCCCTAAAATTTTAGGTACATATTTAGCTACATTTTTCAATATTTAGAAAAATTTTATCTTCAACCCTTATACTTTAAATAAGTACGAACCTCGTTTTTTCATATGGGAACATATGTTTTAAATTCCATAAATATAAAGACAAAAAATCTAAAAAAATGTTAGCGTTTGAATTTTTAGTTTTCATCCATTTGTTCGCTGTTTATGACTTTGTAAAGATTTGAATTTTTGTCTATATTTCTTAATAATTTCATTCGATTCGACAAAGACAAGTAGTTTTATTACGACGGTCATCACATCAAATAAAATAATAATTTGATGTTAACGCATTCCGTATCATAATCAGATATAATAAATAACCATACATTATTAGACGAAAGGTAGACTGTTACGGATAACGGACTTTACACTTTAACCTAATCTAGATGGAGCTAGTCATTAGCTGGTTATCTCGGATAACAATCTAGTATCTAAACTATGCATCAGTTACCACGGAATAATCGAGTGACCAGTACCCATAATATATTTTATTATTTGTACAAAATCGCATTATATTTATTATTTGTACATAACCTCATCGCTAACAAATTTCGACTTCGAAGTTCATACGTTTTCCATTAGTGAAATGAGAAATTGCAAACTTAATTAAAAAATGTTAGTAAATTTACATTATACTTTATGATAGCATGCTTATTGTAGTTATGTCTTAACTCGTTATTTTATAATTTTTTAAATATATCAATTGATAATATTTGCTCTCGACTTTATTTTGACGTTACATTCTTGGACACACCATTAATTTAATAGGTAAGTGTATTAAAGTTTAATAGATAATTTAATACAATACGAATTCAATTAGCTTTTTTATTTTAGGTTGAATGCTTTTTTCCGAAAATCTTTTATCATTTAAAAATCAATGTTATCATGTCAGAAATATCTATGGCGTTGAGAATAGGCTATACCAATTACTATGGAAATGTCTTTTCAATTGGACCCAAGACTGAAGACCTTACAATTTTATATCAAGGTGTAAATTATAAATATAAAGCATTAATTTAATAGGTAAGTTTATTAGAGTTTAATGGGTAATTTAATACAGTACGATTTCAATTAGCTTTTTTAATTTAGGTTGAATGCTTTTTTACTGAAAATATTTCATCTTTTAAAAACCAATGTTATCATGTAAAATTGGTTTTGAGTATGACATATCAATTGCTATGGGAATGTCTTTCCAATCGGACCCAAGACCTTACAATTACATATCAAGGTGTAAATTATAAGTATAAAACATTTATTTCTAATGTGACATTTTTTCATGTGAATGTATAATATCAACACTAAGCAATTTGAATGAAAAGTGTGTTGTGTTAACTTAAAATAATTATTAATGCATGTATTTGTGTATGTGGGTTGATAATACTCA